TATAATTTGAACTGCCTCAACCGGAACCCCCTTATTCATCCCTTTGTTTCATCAGTCTCTTCCTGTCATCTCCCTGCCAGTTTTAATGTCCGTTCCATGTTGTACTTAGTGTCTTGATCGTCACCCGCCTCTGACGCTCAGATCGACCACTATCTTATTAGATACATCCGGGTCATGCACGTTCTTGTGCCCAACACGCCGGCCATGCTGAAGTGCGCCATTCCTACCCACATCTGAACCTTGGTGCTGATTTCTTGTCTGCAAGCACTTTTAACATCGTCCTCTCTCATCACGTTAAACCTGTGCAGTCATCAAGACGCCACTAACCAGAACAAGGCATAACAGCCTATTAGTCAAAAGCCGTTGTCTCATCATTTATCCACTGGCTGCCTTCGGCTTCCGTGTCTTATGACATTACTCATGCTTACGGGCTGAGCGTCGACTATTGCCTTTTACGTACATACCCACATACATACTGCGACACCGCCCCTCACCATTTTGAGATCCATCATCTCCCTCGTTACGGGTGCTATGCGAGTTATCATCGCGACTCGACGCTTCCGCACAACTAGCAAACCACATACGTTGAGCACTTGGTTTTGACTCGGTCGGAATCTCAATTTCTTCCCCCCTAGCTCAATATCGGACAGCCTTCTTCTCGCCGCACTGTGGGGGTGGAGGGAGACTAGCTGCGGGGTGACTGGCGATTACAGAGCAGAGGCGCCATAATCCCTGATCCCCGACAAGGAACAACGTGGTCGGTTATCTCTCCGCCTGTACAACGCTTGGTGCGGTTTGGTGCCTATCAGTCTCAATTTGAAATAATACTCTCTGCGATCTCTCGGCTTTATCGGCTGCGACCTGGCTCGATTATCCCTCCGTGGCTTAGCCTGCGTCTCGGGAAGAAGCAACTTGTGTACAACCAAGGGATGCCCGGTTCAAGTGACTTTGCATTTACAGCGTCATCATCGTCATCGCCGTCGTATTTTTTCACGTCGCCTTCCGAACATCCTGCGCATCCCCGTTATCGTAATCGGACATCCCACGCCTCGTCATGTGATGCGCCTGGGCCATCACGACTGCGACCTGTGGATATGTCGTTCGGACAGGCCTCCTCTTATGATGAACAGGACTCTGACGAGATGTCCAGGGAAGGCGATGAGCATGCTGCTTTGCGCACGGATGTTGACGAGTTTCCGATAGTAGCAACAATATCAGAATCTCACGATGTCGGCTTGACTCCAACAAATGACCTGGGCTCGAGTGATGCGGGTATCTCCGCCTTCACCGCTGTATCTCAATACCCGAACGCTTTCGACAATGACTCGAATGCTCTCGCCGTCACAGAAGTCGTTAACGCCGTCATCGGACGGGAAGAGTATCTTCGAGGAGAGGGGAGGCACGTTCGAGCAGCATCAGTCGGCCGCTCGTCGTCCCCGCCAGCGGATCTGTATATGTCTGATTCAGAAACAACTGATGTTCTGGATCATCAAGTTGGAGTGCCCATCGGACCATACATGGCCGATGGCAGAATGACCATGGACAGTATCCTGGCCAACGATCCAGCCCTAGAACACCACTTTTCTACCATTCCCGAAGAAAGCGACGAGGACGATGTCGGCGATTTGATTATGGACTACGAGTCACCAATGCCGCGAGACGGGTTTAGCGTCTCCGACCATGAGGAGGATCCCGACGATACGCAAAAGTTTTATGTGGATCATGACGATGATTATTACGAAGAGCACATCGACCGTCCGCGGACGCGCGAAGCTACCGCGCAACTCACCGATGTCGATTTCAACGATTTCTACCGGGCGTTCGACTATGATCCGCTACTGGTGATGGAAGCAGCCCCTACTGGTAATCACGGCGATCACAACAATTTTCCAGAAGGTGAGGCGACGGGAGGGCTTCCAGGGATAGACCTTACCCACCTTCCTGCATCTGTGATCCACGGCACGAGTGAGTGTTCATCAATCTATCCACGGTAGACAGGTTACTAATCTTTTGGTCTACGTAGCTCACGAACGGAATTTCAATATCGATCAGTTTATCAACCAGTGGCTCCTGGAATCTACCAGGCACTCGCCTCCTACTCTCCCGCTGATATCCAGGTTGCTACCGCCGTACCCCATATCCAGGATTCTCGGATGGACACCGCCGGAGAAGATCATCCGGCCGAACAACTACAACAGAGATTTCTACGATATTCAACAGATCCCATGGTGGGAAGCCCTACGCGTAAAGCGGTCGGATGCGCGTGAACTGCGAGACCTCTGGTATACATCGTATCACAACGTTGACTATCCACATCCTCAGTTGGACGGCAAACTTCCGCAGGAAGAGTTCTATTTTCGAGAGAAATCGATGCACACTAAACATCGTGCTTCTATCGAACACTTCCAGCTGCGGAATCTGATGTCTGTACCCTCATACAACACGGTCCATTTCTCGCACGAGTCGAAAGTCTACTCGTGGGTTCCGGCGCATGACGACCTGAGTTGCTTGATTGACCTGTCCAAACCGCCAATTAATTCTGGATTCCGCGGCCCTGTCAAAATCTCGACCATGAAATCTGCGCACAATATCTGTATCGCCGGTGGGTTTACCGGGGAATATGCCCTGCGACCGGCGGGCAAGGAGGGCGCAAAGGTGGAGGGATATGTGACGACCAATGCGAATGGCATCACCAACCACATTGATATCGTCCCGAGCCGGACAAGTCACGCTCCGATGGGGATATTTGCGTCGAATGATCAGCACCTTCGCGTGCTGGATTGCGAGACTAACACTTTTATTGCGGATCACGAGCTGTCGCGAGCAATCAATTGCACCGCCACGTCCCCGGATGGGCGGTTGCGTGTGGTCATTGGGGATTCCCCAGATGCTTGGGTAGTAGAAGCAGACACAGGACGACCGGTGCAGCCGCTTCGTGGTCATCGCGATTTCGGATTTGCGTGCGCATGGTCGCCAGACATGCGACACATCGCTACCAGCAACCAAGACAAGACTGTGATCATCTGGGACGCGCGCACTTGGCGAATCTTACAAACGATCGAGTCAGACGTAGCAGGGTATCGCTCTGTACGATTCTCCCCGGTCGGCGGAGGCCCACGAACGCTGCTACTGGCCGAACCGGCGGACCGGATCGCCATCGTCAACGCGCAGACGTACCAGACTCGACAGGTCCATGATTTCTTTGGAGAGATTGGCGGAGCGGACTTTTCGCCGGACGGCAGCACGATCTGGGTGGCGAACACAGACGAGCATTTCGGCGGGTTCATGGAGTTTGACCGGCGACAATGGGGCCAGCCGTACGGACCACGGGGGCTTCCCAATGAGTGGATACGTGAGGCGGACCTCGACGAGGACGAACGGTGTGTGCTCAGCGAGCGGGAGCGACAGATGAGGTTCTGGTGGAATCTGAGCGATGAAGAGCACGAGGCATTGCTGCTGTAGGGGTTTGCATATGGTTGGTGCTGTGGCGTTAGGGAATATCTTCATCATTACTCCGTTCTAGTGGCTTTGCTGCGCTGGCCTGTGGCTGAGCCTGGTGGGACTTGGGAGGTTATCTGCTTTGATTTTTGCAGCGACTATGATACCACAATCGTTCATTTATCTCTTTCCTGTTTGTTATAGAGTTCAATAGTCGAATATCTTCTGAGGAGAGCTGAGGGAAATAATAATCCATTACGGGCATACTCCATAATACTCCACGATATTGCCTTAGTCTGTGGCTGAGTCGGTGTCCCACTGCCCCGCCAGATCTGTTCCACCCTCATACGTAGCTGACACGACCCCTCACCTGGAACATACAAATAGTATACAAGAGGCCCTGCCCTGTCTGTAGTTTATAAAGCTCATTCACATCCAACTCCCACACCTACCGTATCCAACCATATTTGACTCCATACACCGAAGAAGAACCCCAACAAACGAACCAACCAACCAAGATGTCCTTCTCAAACATGATCCAAGACGCCCTCTCGGGCCACGGCCACAGCAACAACAACAACAACAGACACGACAACGACAACGACGACTTCAACCCCGCCGTCCGCTACGCCGAATCTCACACCAACACCTCAGACCCCTCCCTCTTCACTTCCGCCCTCTCCTTCCTAAACGAGAACAAGCACCGCCTCTCCAATGACAACGACATCAACGAACAGGAAATGATCCACGCGCACCAGTCGCTCTACGGCGGCGGCGAAAGCGAGCGGCGCCACGACTCGTCCTCCGTCGGCGCGGGGGCGGCGATGCAAGCGCTTAAGATGTTCACGAGTTCGTCTGAGGGGGAGAAGAGCGGGATGGACAAGAATGCGTTTATTGGGTTGGCGATGGCGCAGGCGAAGAAGATGTTTGAGGAGAAAGAGGCGAAGGGGGAGGTGGTAAGTTGATCTTTCGCTTTGCCTTGGCTTTTGGTTTTGATTTTGGTTTTTGTGGTTGGGGATGAGGGTGCTGACTGTTGTAGAATGGCGATAAGCAGTCTGCTATCAATGCGGCGGCGGAAATGGCGCTCAAGATGTACTTGAAGAGTGGAGGTGGTGGTATGGCTGGCACCGGTGGCCCTGGTGGTGGTCTGTTGCAGCTGGCTAGCAAGTTTCTGTAAAGATATCCGTGGTTTAAGCTGTTGATATGATGCTCGTGGCCTTGATGGTCGTGATAACCATGACATGTCTACGAATATGACCATAGTGATACTCAACTTATTCAATTGCTATATACGACGCTCTATGTTGGTTCGTAGGAAATACCTACATTCAATCCATGCCTCCGGCATCAGTCAATATCAGAGTATGCAAGCGCCAAACAATCTAGGCTCGCTCTTTTGGTATCAAAAAGCCAGTCCCGAAAAGAATCAACATGCGACAATGGAACAATCTAATGAAGGCCGAGGGAGGCGAAATAGAATGAAAACTGCAGGAAGAAAGAATATGTGGGTTGCAAAAGTCAAAGTGCGGAATAGAGGAAAGGGAAAGGAAGACAAGAGACAATCACCAGTCGTCATCGTCATCCTGCTTTCCTTGCATTGCATGTTGTCGTGCCCTCAGTGCCTCTGCAAGACCACCGGCTAAGCTTGCGTTGGACATACTGTTGGGTGTTCCACGACCGCTACCCCCAGACGAGTCGTGAGAGTTCATGCTTACAGCGCTGTCGCGAGGAGCCGGTGGTGGCGTGGGCACTGCCTTGCGTGCCGCCATGTTCGGTCGTTTCGCTGGAGGCGCGGGAGGTGCAGGCTTGGCCTTGGCTGCCGCGGCGGCACCGTTGGTCGCCGGTGCTGGGGTCGACCTCGGAGCTGCTGGTGGCGGCGGCGGAGGAGCAGGTTTCGGTGTCGGAGCGACTTGCTCTTCGAGATATGCTTCTGGTGTCCAACCCTGCGCCGAAGTCGTCATGTTCATGCACAGCCACCAACCTATCACTCGTTAGTAGACGGTTGAGATGAAAAAAAAAAAAAAAAACTCCCAGGCTTACCATTTCCTTCCTTGGAAACAATCTGCACAATCTCACCAGCCTTGATTGACAGCTCGTTGGATTGCTGGCTATTGAAGTCGTACAAAACCTTTGCGGTCGGCTTCTTCGGAGCAGGTGCAGCCGCGGGTGGCGGTGGAGGCGGTGCCCTCACTGAAGCTGTTGAACCGGTGCGAGTGTGAGAAGCAGCAACGGCAGCAACAGGTTGAGGAACAGCCCTGGCAGCTGGCTGAGGTGCAGCAGGCTGCGGTGTGGCACGGGGCAGGGGTTGAGCTGCAGGAGTCGGTCTGGCCGCCAGCTTGGAAGGTCCTCCTCCTGGGCCACCAGGACGGAGCAGCTTCCCTTTGGTGACCGGACGCGCACTGACTTGCTTGGGCCTCGGGGTTGGCTTGGAAACCGAGTTGGCAGGCTCTCCAGGACCGGTGTGAATAGTACCACTCTTGTAGCTGTCATCTCGGGCAACAGCAGGATCCTTGACGACCTTGACGGTGGCCAATTTACCCGGCTTCTTGTTGTACTCGATGCTGAACCTAGTTAGCGGGTGGAAGACCAATACTCCAACAATGACACTTACTGGTCGGCAATCTTCAAGTTTAATTGTCCGTGCAGCGTGTTGTTCAGGTGGGTAAAAAATTCCGTCTTGAACACGCAGTTGACAAGAGGGTCAGGCTCTTGTGGACTGCCAACCACAATTGAAAACCAGTCATCTTTCAAGTTCGAGGCACTGACAGCCTTAATGGCGCCGATTGGAATCGTCCTTTCGGACGAGATGACCAGCTGATTGTTGACCAGGTTTTGCGCTATGATGTATACGTGGCGGTTGGTCTGATAGAGTTAGCACCAAGCACAAGAGCAAGTGGAACAATCAGCGTACCAAGACTAGTATACGAGGAGCAGGCTTGCTGGACCGACCAAATTTCGAAACCAGAACCTCGCCACGGCATGAAAAGAGAATATCCTCTGATCCTGTAGAAACAAAGTCAGCCAGCCATCGAGCTGCATTTCGGTGTTCCAAATACTCACCGCTGATGCCTGCACCGTTACGGACCATCTCGCCGGGTCCACCTTTATTGCCCACCCCGATATAATCACCAAGAAATCTGCGGGAACCGAGCAGACTCATCCGACGACGCTCCTTACGCCCGTTGAGCAGCTGATGTCCCTGATCGCGCAGCTTAATGAACTCGAGACCGCCAGTGGTGCGACGCCAGAAGCGCTGAATGCGTATAGCACACTCAGTACGATAGCGAAGGTAGTTTCGCCACGCACGCTGGATTCGGATGGCCATGTTGTGCCAGTAACGGTCACGCATGGCTTCCAAAGCAAACAACGTCTCTGGAGTCTTGACAAACACCTTTGTGATTCCCATCTGGTACTCTTCGGCGGGTATGCTGGTATCCTTCAGAATCTGACGAGCGCCAGATTCGGCGTCCCCTGTCCATGTGTAATCACCTGCATAGGACGTCTTAGGCGACAAAAGGTAGAAACGCTCCACGAACTTGTCGAATGTCTGACGGTAAGCAAAACCAGCACGTCTGATCCGAACGTTCTCCTGCAATCCAAGGTATTTAATCTGATGCAGAACGTTTCCGACGTTGTACTCCTTAGGCGCCTTGTTATCGTTCGGCTTGATTGTCCGAATATACGAGGGCTGGGCCTTCATCAAGGTTGCCACCAGGTCGTTGGCCGAGGCCTTGATCTTGTCGCTGGCGGTGGGTGGACGTCTCTTGTCATCCTGATTGACTTGCTCGGGGAAGAGCGTATGGACGAATTGGTTGCCGCTTGTTCCGACCAGATTCAGAAGGTCTTTCAGCAACTGGTCCTTGTTCTTGTCTGTCATTCCAGCCACGGCGTAGCTGACATCACCAGCGTAATGCTTGACAATGAACTGCCCCTGGCGGTTCTCAAAGTTGGGATTTTGAGACAAGAAGTTGAGTCGTCCGACGAAGGTGTTATCTGCAGCGCTGGAATCAGCGTGCGCTGTTGCACAGGCATCGTTTAGAGCAGCAAATACACCAGGTGGACGTTTGTCTTCAATCAACGAGCACACAACCTTGTTGTCAAAGTATTTGATGGGAGTCCACTGAATCTGCTCGCGAGCGTATTCATCCTGCTCAGCCTTGAGAGTCAATTGAATGAAGATTTGCTGCAACTTCTCGTTGACATAGTTGATACAGAGTTGCTCGAAGGAGTTCTTCTCGAAGATCTCGAAGCCATAAATATCCAGAATACCAATCGAGTTCGCAACCTCCCCTCTGGCAGTCAGGGAGGCGTTGACACGCTGCACAATCCAGTCAAACAGGTTGAAGTAGATTGCTTTGGCCAACGCGTCACGGACAGCAAGAGCTTGGACAGTATTGAGTGGAACCTCATAGACTGACCCTCTGCGACCCCCGCGAGCAGTTTCCATCACCCGAATGGTAAAGGCTTTGTTCACCTGAGCAGCATCAACCTCCAGGAGGTACGCAACATAGTCAACCACTGACTGATCCGTAATAACGGCGTTCCCGGAATCGTCTTCTGCAAATTGAACATTGCCGATCCACAAGATCGCAGCCAGCATACGGAAGACATCATCCTGCTCACCCTCCGTCATGCCAATCACGTTCATCGCATTCAAAGTATCGCGGAACTCAGCAGAATCGTCAACGCCAGGGACGTCATAACATTTCGATCGGCTGGTGTAGAGGTATGACTGCGGTTGCTGTATGCCGAACAAATCTATCTGTCTGTCAGTGGGAGAAACACTGGTGAGATCGGAAAGATCAACTCACCTCTATATTTCTGCGGCGCCGCTTTGGTAAATTGGTAGAAAATGTGGAAGTTTCGCTCGTTTGTGATTTGTCCTACTACTCTGGATTTCTCCAGCAAGTAGTTGGTGATATTGGCACCCACTGGTTCACCGTTTGTGTTGAACTCCAGTTCGAGATACTTTCCAAACCGGGAGGAGTTGTTATTGCGCAGGGTCTTCGCATTGCCGAACGACTCGAGCAACGGGTTGGTAGCTAGCACCATCTCCTTGGTATGCTGGATGGACGAATCAGTGCCTCCGGATACACTGGCGATGTACTGCATAATCCGCTTCGCAGCTTCCGTCTTTCCTGCACCCGACTCTCCTGAGATAATCACGCACTGGTTATCCTTGTAAGATTTCATGTTGTAGTAGGCTGATTCTGCGACCGCGAAAACGTGGGGGGGCACTTCGAGTCGATTTTTACCTCGATAAGACTGGAGAACATTGTCGGTGTAGATACCCACTGCGAAGCAACGATGTCAGCGACGCGCCTTTGAAGATCGCACATGGCTCGGTATAAACTCACGGTCTTGGAAAGGGTTGACGGACACCAACACGTGGCCGATATATGTCTATCATCCGAAGAATTCAGATCAGCGCACGCCCTCAGTAGTGCAAAAATCTCGAGGTCCGCTAGTCAGGGGATGTTGCTTACATAGATCTCGTCATGTTCAAAGCGCAGCTTCAGGTTGTCATTGATAGCCTCGTTCGAGATTTTGCTCAACAATGTAAGATCTGAAACACCAATTTCCTTCTTCTTTGTGCTCTCGAAAGTGGCCTTCTTCACCTGAGGCTTGCCCCCCGTTTGTCGCCCATCGCCCACATCGGCAGCCGCCTTGGACCGACCGAAGCCTCGACTCTTCTTCTCTCCGCCAGCAGGACGTCGTGAGTGTCCCTAGAAGAAAGCGCGGAGTTAGAAAAACAATTTCTGAATCAAGAACAATTTCCTCTGAAGCTGATTGTGTGGGTTAATTGTAGACATACCATGATTGTTGCTGCCGACTTCCCCGGATATGGCGCCCAGGCGTCAAGATATCTGACCTATCAAGTTTCACACGGCAGCGGCAAGTGAGCGTGGAAGAGATAAGATAAATGTACGCAAAAGACAGGACGCTCAATCCAAGCAGTGCGCAGAGTCGGTAGAAAGAACGGTGGATGTCAATATAAGGAAAGGAGGGGGGGGAGAGGGGAGGGGATGAACGATAGTAGGAACTTAGAATGACGATGGTGTCTTGTGGAGGACTGGACTGGAGTCTTAGTCCTTACTGGGCCTTGATAGGACTAAGGACGCTCTCCTGGATAATAACGGGGACTGCGCCACACTGGACACACATGTGGCACCGTTGGGTTCCCTTTGTCAGGTCGAAAACGCGCAATCTCGCTCAGGCTCCGGAGTTCTCTTAGTCAACCCGGCCGCATATCCGACTCATCCCAGGCTAACTTTTTCGAACTTTGTTCGATTCCTTCGCCGCTCGGGCATTTAGGGGCTAATCATTCGTGGTCCCTGGCGCTAAAAAATGCCATTGTCTCCAAATTAGGAACAGCACAACCCGGGTATTACGATGCCTAGCGATATTATTTCTTGGCCTCAGGCCGTCAAATGGGAGTAACTTCGTGATCATCCCCCTCCTACGTCAATGCTGCATTTAGTTAAAGCTTCTGCCTTCACTTTGGATGAAATTGCAAAATGGGGCTCATTGGCATTCTAATGTGCATCTCAATGATTCCTTGATATTTCTTCAGGGGAAGAAAGGAATCATTGCAGTTTGGTCGGGTTATTGTGCTAAGGTGTTGATTTTCTACGCTGGTCAAATAAGTTATATATATCCCTTCCGACTCGAGCATTCATGTAGATACCGCTTCTGCAACTGCCAGCGTTTTGGATACGCCATATCGGCTCACACGGTTGTTAAATCGGATAAGATGCAGGTAGAGAGCAGAGCTTGAGCATTTACTCATAAACGTGATCTTCCTTCCAGAACTGAGTAATGTCCGTCCCCAGTTGGCTCCCGAGATGTTCATCTAGCGCAAACCTCCCTTCCTGCGTGCGGATGGCCTGGCTCAAGGATTTAAAGGAAGGAAAAAGATCACTCAGGACATTTGCATCATGTTCCGGGAGAGGAGCAAAGGACGGAGCTCTCATGTGATGTAGTAAAGACACAGTGTCCGTCAACGGCCGAGAGAAAGGCGGTAGATTCGCAAGACAGCCTATATATTCCTGAATGCAGGTCGTGAAGCAAGATGAGTCAGGAATTGGGATTGTGGGCAGATGGTCTGGTAGGGACTCAGCCATGCTGGTTGGATAAAAAACGAATCAGCTGAAGTTCATTCCAGTCCCGAGTTCTCAACTTAAACACAAGATAAAAAGAGAAGAGCTCGCGTACAGAACTTGCAGAGCAAGGAGTCCTTCGAGGCTATACCTGCCACTTGCACTGCTGAAGGGTTCTTCCGTAAGGAGAAAAGCAATGGCTTTTCTGTGAGAGCCTGTGGCCATGCACGAAAACCTTTTCAGTTGAGCGATTGTCTCTTGCCTGTTGTCTTGAATTGAAGATTGAGAGAGAAGCAAGACCTTCAAATGCTGTAAATTGCCGAGATCAAAGTCGAAATCCGCTTCTCGCAAATCGCACTCTAGTTGAATCACATTCAGAAGTGACTCAAAGCTGAACTGGGGTTCGGATGCAAACCTTCGAGCATTGGCACAGACGCTGCAATTACCGGGCCCATTACTTTCCAGACAGGACGATTCCCTAGAGAAGAAGAAAATGTCCCTCGAAGAGATGACACGGCAGGATCTGGCATCGCAAGAAGCGAATAAGTCTATAGTTGTGAACTGACAGCCGGGATTGGAGAGTATATGTACAGGAATGAGGAACATGCGTTTGTGAGAGTAGAGAGGAGAGTGGTCAAGTCATGCAATATCTGGACTCTCATCAAACTTTCCTCCTTCCGCCACAACCAGATAAACTGTCGACCCATCATCTATTACCATAACAGAGGGTATCTTGAAGACAAGACATGCTAATGCTGACATCCAACAACTCCGGAACCGGAAACTGCATAACAAGAAATATGAGCGAAGATTATGGAGAGGTTATTTATGTGCAAAGCCACACCAGTCGAATCACTCAATGATTCTTTACTGAGGGCGTCTCATGAGCGACCGATTTCGCTGGTGATTGGTCGAATTGAATAGGGACTGCTGAATTGGAGGGCGAGCTTTGGTTCGACTGTACGACGGGCTTGGGTACCTCGCCCGGTTTCTGTTCAGTCGTCTGTCCAAAAGTGAAGAACGAAGTGATCCGCGACCACCAGTCCAGCTCCGCCAGCTCTTCAGCTTCTTCTTCCTCTTCAACTTCCCACACTTCACGCGGAAGTATTCTAACCGACGGTTTGACTGACTCCCCAGCCTTGGCCTTGAGATGTATGACCTCCTTTTCCAAGGCGACCAGGGCCTTCCGGGCGGTCTTCTCAGACTGCTCCAGTTCGACTAACCTGGCCTCAACATCTTCTCTCCGCGTTGTTTCCTTTCTCCTCGATCTCCATGATTCAAACACGATCAGTCCACCCGCAACGAGAAATAAGAAGGTCTCGCTGATGAAAGTTGCGCCCGATTCTATGGCTTTAGATTCCGACAGCGGTCGAATATGAGGGGTGGGAGCCGGTTTCGCTGCCTCTGACGCCGCAGCCTTTGCTTTCGCTATGGCCTCCTCTTCGGCTTTGGCTTCTGCTTCCGTTTTTACCGTCGGCGCTGTGGGTTTGTGTTTTCGGACTTCGGCTTCGGCGGCTGCACGCTTTTGAGCCGCAGCATTATCCCGTAGGTTTCCTAGGCGGAGACGCATGTCGATTCGATGCAGGCCTTGCGCTATGGAGACGCAGATTCGTCGGAAGCGCTCATGTTCGCGAGCCTGGGCTTTGATTTGATTCTTGAAGGTGTAAGTCTTTCAGAGCTTCAAAATTTGGAGGGGGGGTTGAGGGGGTGAAGCATACTGCAATCGGCTTTGATAGAGTGCGAATCACAAGAGAAGAGAGCTTCAAAGTCAGAGACATCTTGACAGCTCTCAATACAATTCAGCGGTTGAATTGAGCAGACGTCCAGGCTACTGCTGCAGTTGATGATGATGACTGATAGCCAGGCACTCTCAGCTGCTGCCGCGCTATGGCCGTATCCGGAATGGTCCCTGACTCTCTGCGTCATTTCAAGCGCATTACGAATGATATACATGCTTATGTCAGCAATGCACGTTGTTGCGGCAGTCGGACGAATGTTTATCGATTACCCGATTAAGCAATCCGTTTTGAATAGTCAATTCCTTCTTCACCATCACAGTTGGCAGCCTCAATACAATCATCATCACTCCCTGCTTCCCCTCCCCCGCCTCTCATCAGGGCTGTCAGTTTGCTTGTTGTGGCGTTACATGCATATCATTGTTTCAGAGAGTTATAGTTGATCATATTTTTCTACTTGCACTTGTTTTTTGGTAAGCAATCACTCACCCCGAATCCGAGTTCTTTGTTTCCACAACGGAACACCGAGACATTGGATGATCCGGTTCCAGACGTACTGACAGATTTGAGCCATAGATACCAAAAGCAGCTCATCTATTATACCCCTTTTCGCTCCGTCTTGCGTTGATTGTCTATATTGTAGCGATACTTTTATGACTACGACAAATATTTCGTCTCACCTTGCCTGGTCACACGATTGATCTCCAATGCGAAAATTGATGCCCACGCACAGCAAGGAAACCGATCGAAGGACTGGAATCGAAGATGGAAGCATTGTCGCCGCGATCGACGAATCACTTGATCAGACCTAAAGTCAGCATGGAGCGAAAAGTCCTGGACAAGAATGCCGCTGCCGCCGCAGCGGCGCAAAAAGCCGCTTCGTCGAAAATCCATGCGCCTCCACCACCATCACTGGTTGTAGAGCCCGCGGAAGGGGGTGAGCGCTATTCTACTGGCGCTTTTCTTGGAAAAGGAGGTTTCGCAATCTGCTACGAAGGAACGCTATTGCGGAATGGAAGAGTCTTTGCAATGAAGGTGGTGAGGTCTGAGATGGGGCAGAAAAAGATGCAGGAGAAGGTATGTCTCGAGTCGCATCCGCCCGCATTGGCGTGCTTTAATCAACCCTGTTCTAACCAGAACACTCTGTAGTTTCGAACCGAACTTCAAATACATTCGAAAATGCGCCATCCCCACATCGTCGAATTTCATCGCGCCTTTGCATTTGACAAGTGTATCTATGTGGTCCTGGAGCTGTGTCCAAACGGTTCAGTAATGGACATGGTGAGGAAGAGGAAATGCCTGAGCTTGCCCGAAGTGCGACGATTCATGGTACAGCTTTGCGGTGCCGTCAAGTATCTCCACAAGAGGAGTGTTGCGCACCGTGATCTGAAAATGGGAAATTTGTTTTTGGATCGTAATATGGACATCAAAGTGGGCGATTTTGGACTGGCAGCGATGATTATCTCTGAAAAGGACGAGAAGCGGAGGAAAACACTGTGTGGGACACCGAACTATATTGCTCCAGAGGTCCTTGATAAGAGTAAGGGTGGTCATACCCAGAAGGTTGATATTTGGTCGTTGGGTATAATATGGTAAGCAAGATTAAAGTCATGACACGCACAGGGTTCCCACTAACAAATATTTTCGAAGCTTTGCGATGCTTACCGGTTATCCGCCATTTCAGTCTAAAACACAGGAGGAAATATACAAGAAAGTCAGGAATTTGAGTTATGTGTGGCCCAGCGGCACTCAGTGCGCGAATCACATTCCCGACGAGGCCAAATCTCTGGTCAGCTCTTGTCTCAATCTCTCAGAGAACGAGCGGCCTGACCCAGACGACATTGTCGAACATCCATTCTTCAATATGTATGATGGATGTATCCCTCGTCGACTGGACCCGACTTGCACTGTTTCGACGCCAATCTGGCTCAGGTCGGATGAGCCTCGTGGTGATCGCATGATGCTCGGTCATAGCCTGGAGTATGACGAGAAGCTGTCAGGCTACATAGAGCATGTTGATGACCCGACACAGCGATACCTCATCTGCCGGACGGCTTTCTACAGTCTCTGTGGAGTCGGACGTAAACCAGATGGGACAGCTCGCAAGTCCGTTGGCAAAAACTGTTCGAAATCTGCATTTGCGGAGTGTCTATCTGAGGAGGAAAAGGGAATGCAGCCAGTTATGCCGCTGCCCGAAGACATGGTCTACAGATACCCTAGTGACCCAGACGGGGACTGGAGCACGCCCAGTCCTGGCCTTGCACTTGGCAAGGATGACTCGTCACTGGACGGTACGAGGTCCTCTAGTAAGCGTACCGTATCCATGCGCAGTAATTCTGTCTCTCTTTCCAGAACCCAAGCCGCTCTTGCTGCAGCCCAGCAACGACGGAAAGAACCGCAGAGTCATGCTGCAACGCTTCGCCAACAGGCAATGGGTGCTCGAAGCTCGGTCAGGAAGATTGCAGCTATCTGCGATCCACCAGCAGTAGTAGAACCCGAGTCTGCTGCTCCTGTCGTGCCAACCGGTGGACTCGCGGAAAGACCCATACGCGCGCGACGCGGAGTGGCAGTCTCGTACTCAGGTTCAACGCGTGACTTGGACAGAAAGATTGTGCCATCCACCAGTGACCCTGGGATGCTGACAGTGGGTAAAACACGGTCGCAGTCTCGACGACTCGGAGCGGCAAGCAACGACGCACTTTCCGCTCCCGCCGTCATCAAAGAGCGGTCGGTCTCCTCAGCGTTGGACAATCTACCTACGAGGTTACGCCAAAGCTCTGCACGTTCAGTTGCGAGGGAAGAAGCTCTCCAATCTTCCAAGGGGCAGGAGCTAGAAGAAGAAGTCAAGGCGAAGGAAGTGCCAAGCGGAGATGGCCGTCTGCGAACAGAAGCCGCCGTAAGCCGTTCCAGTAGCAAAACAGCCTCCACGTCAAGCAGTAAGCGCTCGACATTAGGACTGTATCCACTCCTTCATCCGGACGATCACTGCGAGATGATACCAAGGACGTCTCTCGAGGACGTCAACACCGACCTCCGACTGATGCTTTCTAACCTGGTGCCTCCGGCATCTGGTCGCCGGCGCGTAAGCTCGAGAAGGACACCCCATGCATACGTCATCAAATGGGTAGACTACACTAATCGTTATGGCATTGGGTATGTTCTAGATGACGGTAGTGTGGGATGCGTGTTCAAAGCGGAGAACGGCCAGCCGGCCAGTGGAGTTCTGCTACGGAATGGTGAAAGACATATCCGTCGGAAAGCCCGTAGCCTAAGCAAACAAAAGGATGGAGCCTCTACCTACTCCGAGGCTGGTCAGCTCGTGCCTCGTAACGGCAAGCCGGTGGAATTCTACGAGAACTGCGAAATCACATCGTCAGATGGTCTGACGGGCATCCGGCGTGCGCTCATTCCCCCTTCTGTTTTCGAGGTGAAGCCGTCTTCCGATGGCTCCTCTGGTGCTGGAATCAAGGTTCGCACAAACTCCGGTCTCGAACGCGCGCGTGCCGATGCGGAGAAGATCAAACGCGTGAAGCTGGTTGATCAGTTCGGCAAGTATATGATTGGATCCTTGGGCAGACATGACGACGATGACGTTTCGGAAGACGATAAACCAACAGACGGCCTTGGCCAGTTTATCAAGTTCTACCAGCGATTGGGCAACGTCGGTGTCTGGGGGTTTGGCGACGGTGCTTTCCAGGTTTGTTAGCCCATCTTTGCAGCTTAATACACGCTCTAATTATGCTCCGGAATAGTTCAATTTCCCCGACCACACAAAGCTCGTCATATCCCCTGGTCGTACAAGAGCCTCATCGCCCTGGATTGACTTCTATCATCTCTCCCCTTCTGCGGCCCGGTATCTGAGCGCCAAAGGAAAGATGCACCCGTCCGGATTTGATACTCGAGCCGTTGCTTCAGACGAGGCCACGGCATTCCTGAGCATTGCACATGGCAGCGTGATGAGCTCTGTGGATGAGCGCATTCGCGATGTTCTGGAAACCAACTTTTTCCTGGAGAAGATCAGCTTTATCAGGGAAGTCATGAAGAGCTGGGTTAAGCATGGGCGCTTGGGAGGTGGGCCCTCGCAAGATCAGACTTCAGCTGACGCTCCCAAGATGCTTTGGGAGGGCACTCAGGAGCGGGCGCAACTTGGAGGAGGCAAGTTTGTTTGGGTGACCGTCGGGGCTCCTGGAGGGGATGGCGAGTATCGATCCATTTCTCTGAAAGAGAAAGAATCAGAAGGAAGAGAGAATGATCCGGAAATGGAGGCTTTACGAGAGCGATTGCGAATATTAGCTACCAAGCCGTAGATTCGGCAACCTCTCCAGCTACAACTTACGATGTCACGACTTTGCGATTTGTGTTTTCCTTGGCTCAGAATTCAAGCCTGCGATCACTGAAATTTCTTTTGTGATATCCAACAAAGCGCTGAGTGGGTTGCATAAAGCTTATAGCTTCGTTCTGTCAATTAGCATTGAACACAATCTGCTGCTTCTCTTTCTTGAGATACAATGACTCCAATGTACTGATACCCATCGCGCACACGTTCTCTCATCTCAAAGATAGACTCCTTTTTTGTCTCATTCTAAGAGCACGCTCTTGTCGTTCTTGTATGACATCAAAACAGTGCTCGTCTGAGCCCAGCTGCCAGGACCTGAACCATCCGCTTGGACACTGAGAGTGGCATTCCATCTCCACCGTCATGGACTAGTGGGAAAAATCTTGGAGTATCTCCAGGAGTCTCTTTGAACGATTCCATTCGCTACGGCCTTCGTCAGCTGTGTCATGTAATACAAGTGTCCATCGTGCGGGGTTAGATAGCCCCCCTGTCTTCGAACAGATGGCATTCAAAGTTTAGCATTCATCGATTTGCCCAATCTTTCTGACACTACTGAGCTCTGTCTGCGATCTACCCATCACAAAATGGGCACCGTCTCTCTGTCAGAGATGCAGAATCCGTCATGTCTGCTGTACGGCCCATTCGACGCAAGATTCGAAGATAGACCCATCCCGCAAATCGAGGATCCATCCGACGTGATCATTCGCATCGCATACACAGGCGTCTGTGGAAGCGACGTACGTCACATACCTCCCTTTCCCCGACCATCACAAAACCCAAATCTAACCACAAGCAAAAGGTCCATTTCTGGCTCCATGGCGGAGTCAAACGCCTCGTATCCGCCGAACACCCGATCGTCATGGGCCACGAAGCATCCGGCATCGTCCACGCCGTTGGACCCTCGGTTTCTACCCTCCAACCTGGAGACCACATCGCCATTGAACCGGGCTACCCGTGCCATCGGTGCCCCTGCTGCAAGAGCGGCCGGTACAACCTCTGCCCGCGGATGAAGTTCGCTGCGGCGCCGCCGAGCTGCCACGGCACGTTGACCAAGTACTTCCGTCTGCCTGCGGACTACTGCTACAAGATTCCACCTGGGACGTTAGGGCTCGATGAGGCGGTGCTGATGGAGCCGCTGGCGGTGGCGGTGCACTCTGTGCGACAGGTGGGCGTGCGGCCTGGGGATCGGGTAGTCGTGTTTGGTGCGGGCACGGTAGGCTTGCTTTGTGCAGCCGTAGCGAGGGAGTTTGGGGCCGCGACGATTTCTATGGTTGATCTTAACGCAGCGAAGCTGGAATTTGCGCGGTCGTTTCTCGCGAGCGAGGGAATGGTTTTCTGGACGTGGCTGCCTTCTGCTCCTGGGTCTTCGGAGGAGTATGCCGCGGCTCTGCTGGCTGTGCTTGACCGAACGGAGCACAGGAGCGACGAGATCCCTGGCTTTGATGTCGCCATTGAAGCTACGGGCGCGGAGCCTTGCATTCAAATGGGGATCGAGGTGCTTCGGGTTGGGGGTGCGTTTATCCAGACGGGGCTCGGGAAGCGGAATGTGAGCTTTCCTATCTGCACGGTTGCTGAGAAGGAGATTGTGGTGAAGGGATGCTTTCGGTATGGGCCTGGGGATTTTCGGATGGGGCTGCAGTTTGCGGTTGAGGGGAGGATTCCTGTTAAGCAGTTCATTACGAAGGTGTTGCCTTTTGAGAGGGCGACGGAGGCTTGGGAGACGACGAGACGGGGAGAGGGTATCAAGACGTTGATTGAGGTGTCCAGTGAGGCAGAGATCTACGAAAGTTTGAGCACTCAGGCTTGATATTGTAAGAGCAACAAGGTTCTGGCTGCCATCACTGTTCTCTAATGCCATAGTGTTTAACTGCAAAGCATAATTGTGACATGTTCGGTATGAAAATTAGTCTCAAGAATGTATATCAGCCAAGTCATTCAGTTTTTGCTCGAAGCAAGCGTGCATCCCTCCTCATCTCAACATCGCCCCGTGCTAGCCATCTACTCGCTTCTACTAGTTGTACAACATTCACATACTGCTTGAAGAGCATCAAGGGCGACGAAAGGGTAAGCCACAACCACGGCATGGAACTGTCGAATTTATCGGCACTAGATTCGCTCAGCATCAGTCCTAGCCTCGCCGGGGCTATACTTACCGAGCTATTTCCATAGCCCCAGCACTCCAAGGCGATCCCCAGATCTGGGATGCTGTTTCGCCATTCTCTTGAGGCATTAGCAACGGCGAAGAAAACGCAAGTAGATACAGCGCGATGAAAAACGCCTCGTTCATCGTGCATACAGTAAACAGAACTTTCTGGGCTATATCAATTCATGTTCTCTGTGCTTAAATGGTGATGCAAACCTGATTAGAGTAATACGTCCTCATAACCCAAGGCCGACTCTCATCGATATTCTTGTGGCTCTGCGTCTGCCCGCCCATTGCCAGGGTGGCATACATATGGATGTAGTGGCTTGAATAGTCCAGACTAATCAAGGCCTGAAAGGAGATACTCCATCTGGGAAACGCGGATGCGAGAAAGACCAGCAGACAGGTGGTTGTACATCGATCTGTGATCATGTCCAGGACGGCGCCGAAGCGTGTTGACTGTCCGAGGTGCCGGGCAGCTGCTCCGTCTAAGGCGTCTAGGACATATGAAATGCTGTATAGGAGTGAACAGGTTCGTGGGTGGTAGGGCATGTAGTAGAGCGAAGCAATGGCGAAAATGATTCGGGTGTAGCCTAGAATGAATATTAAGTATTGAAACTCTGGTCTTCATGGCTGGAAGATTATCATGCCAATCAAGTTTGGAACGAAGAGGAAAACATTCTCTTCGTTTTCATTTACTGTTTTTTGATTGTTAGGATGGGTGGACATGGTGTTAGACGGTAGCATCGATGACCTGAAATTATTGATGCAGAACAAAGACAGTTACCGATTTACAAGGATGAGCAAGATTGATCATGTGTCATAATTGGAAGGATATTTTCTGGCAGAGACTAGGCAGGGATTAGGATTACTGATAAATGGTAGAAGTTACCAGGTCCACATCTCTCCTATCATCATCCTAGCCTGATATTCAGTCATTATATCCGCAGGCGTCGCTGTACCTCTACCTAGATATAGTTCTACATTCTGAGCAGCATGATCTGTATCATCTCCAATGAGTTTACATGATCCTCGGGGGTTTCTACCGGATGCTTGCTTTGATCTCCTCCAACTACATCCTACCAGGCATCATCGTGACTGTGTCTTTGACTTAATCTTTGAAGAGAATATATAACCTTCATACCATGCAATGCTCTATACCGTATCCACCCCTCTCTAAATATACAAAGCAAACAGTTCACGGATATCAATTAATCACCCTCCCAGCCCTCAGCATATACCCCTGCACATACCCACCCACCACCTCCCTCTCCTCCACCACCCGAAACCCAAACTTCTCATACAGCGGCCTCCCCACCGGCGACGCCGAGAGATACGTCTCCAGTCCCACCTCATCAGCCCTCTCCAATCCCCATCGGAGGAGTCTCGACGCAAGGCCCTGCCCAGCGTACTCCGGCCGGGTCCCCAGCATCTCCAGATCTAGACAGTCAGCATGCACCTTTCTGTAACAGAGCTCAAAGGGAAACCAAACGGGAAAGGAAATACAGTAATGAGGCCGAGCACCCATAATCCTCCCCTTCATCTCCTCCATTCCACCGAAGAATACCTCGCAGAGCTCCCTGTCGGAACTGGCGGGGTAGTGATGCTCATCGCCTGCATGCGAATGCGAATGCGGATGTTTCAAGTGGACATCCTCGGGGGAGGATTGGACCGGGAGCTGCCACACGGCAAACGCGACGATGGACCCGTCTTCTGAGTCGATTATCTTGAGAACGGTCTTGTGTGGATTGTTGATGAAGGACGTGAATTGGGCGGTCCAGTAGGCGGTTACGTCTGGGGTGCGTGGAAACAGGCGTTGGTTGAAGGGGTTGCTGAAGGCGGAGAAGAAGACGGTGGTTAGGTTGGGGGAGTCTGCGGGGTCTGCGGGGAGGAGTTCGAAGGACATTTTTCTTTTCTTGCTATCTAGAGAGGTTTTGTATATTTGTATGTTGATCGTGATAAGATGAGAACGCGGTGAGAGACTGAGATGAGATATGATGTGCCAAGACTTTGTAGCTGTGGGCCGAGTGGAGCAGATTGCCCGAGTATGTTGCATGACTTGCATCTCATCTGTACTATGAGTACTCATTATAGTATATGTTTGTTGTGGTGATACTACACGGAAGGACATGATCATGAGGTTCATTATATTAGCTATTAGCTGAGTTCATACGCTTCAAGTCAGACAGTTTCAAACCCGCTCATAGTGTGGGTGCTTCTGCTCATAGTGCGGGTTCTTCTCCAATACCGGCTCAGGAACAGACACCGGGCTGCCCGCATCAGGCTTCCCAGGCTGCTGCGATTCAGGTGCCCGCGCCTCCGGCAGAAACGACCGACGAGTCTGCCCCGGTCCAGCTGGCGAGCGATTCTCCCCGCTCTTGGTCGCCTCGATTTCCCGCTTGACACCCTCGTACATGCTCTCGATGAAAAGAATCTCCTCCTGGACATCCAGCTGGCAGCCGTCCAGGCAGAACTCGCGCTCTCGTTGCTCAATATACTCCCGGATGTTCCGCCATTCGTTCTGGTAGTGCTTCAAACGATCGGGTAGCCCGGACCCCTTGAGATAGGTCAGTATACCCGCCATGATAGTGTTGATAGCGCCAAACGCCGTCACGGCGTTGTGGGGCCCGCGCGCGGCGCCGAGGGCCGTCAGCGCGGCCGCGACTACAATCTGGATGCCCAGGCAGGTGTTCATGAGGATGCTGAAAAAGCGGAACCGCTGTGCGGCGGCTTGCTCGGCGCGCACGACGCGCGTATAGATGCCGACGTTGGGCGCGCTACGCGGGTGATGGTGCGGGATTGCTAGGGCCGGGACGGTGTCGATGCCGGTGAGAGCGCGGAAAACGAGCAGTTTGTCTGACGGGGGGATCAGGGTGCTGGCGTGGGTGGTTGCTACCGTCAGGCGCCGGGCGAGTTGTGGATTATTTGCGGAGCCCATGGATAGACCCTCGTTCTCTGCGTCATGGAGTCCGTGCATTGTAGGGTAGTGAGGGTAGCCCTGTTCCTCGCGATCAACGGGGTCGATGATTGCTGTCAGGACACGCCTGAGAAGAGTCGGTCGGGGTCGTTCGGCCATGGTTGTTTGCAGCTTGACTCTTTGGCTCTGCTTTAGAACGGGTGATGGAACAGGCTGTATAGAGTCTGTGTAAGTTGAGATTGTCGACTGTGCGGGACAACCCCATCGTACTTAAGGATCTGTCAAGCACCGCGAGCTTCTGAAAGTTGCTTATTTTTTTCCCTTTTGCTTCTTCGTCCAAGCTCGGTCTTGACTCAGCTAGCCTAGCTGCAGCCAGCCAAAGATATGAGCGCCGAATCATATCGAAGACAAGTGCTATTGAAGTGAAATGATATGGGAAAACTTAGCCAATAATCAAGCCATTCATTTCCGCCAATTCCTGAACTGGATGACCGACTGCAGATCAGCATGTTTTGGGCAATGAGTCCGGCCGATCCCTCGGGAGCGGGCCCTCTGAAGAACCAGAACCAGACAATCTCAGCAGGAAGTATCTGCTCCGTGGACTCGACCCTGAGTCTCCTTACTCGTGCTCCTTGCTCTGTCAAATAACTATTCCGTACAGTAACTTGATTACACCCATGAGTATGATCCGCATGGTGGTGAGGGATAACGGATGATTTGGAATACTGATGTCGAAAGACAAAAGGGAATGCGAACTCTTCGTTTAGTGTGTCTTGGCGATGGGCGCACGGGAAGTTAAAGAGTGATTGACGAACTGAAGATCAAGACTGAAGATGTGATGAACATTTCTGTTGCTGAAGATGATGAGTCAAGTCCAGACTCTGTGGGAAGTGTCACTCGTGCAGTCGGAAAATCACCCCGCCAATAGCTTACCATCAGTACTCTGTAGAGCGCCTTGTTTCGAGTTGTTCGAACGATACAACTCGTCAAGTCAATGCTTTCATGAAAATCAACACAAAGAAAGTCTAGCATCAGCGGGTTGACTATCAATAGGTCTTCATGCTCCAGGCCTTGTTTGACACAACATGAAACTGATTACTTTGAAGATATGGAGTAGTCGTGAGCCATGACAGATCGGAGAGCTTTTGCTCAATAACCAAACAAATCAGCAATCCTCTACATGCACAATTGGAAAAGAATGGACTGATCATCTCCTGCATGCACATGACCTTTTGCAGCGCCAAGCAGGAAGCTGGACATTCTATATTAGGTATAGTGGCTTAACTCAGAACCCCGGTTATATCACTCGGTGCACCTCATAAGATTCCTTTTCTTCTATATCAAATATCCATGAAAGGATGCTCTTGATGGCAATGAACCAGAAGAAGGTTCTGATGTCCAGGTCTCCTTAGATATCAGGAAGATGTCTTCGTTGTCAGACTCACGACTGGACGAACTACCAAGTCGATTGTATGTTTATACTTTGCGACTGTGAACAATCCCTTCGCAGCCTTTGCCTTGCTCATCACACTCGGACCTCTGCTCACCGTCCTGGGCATGCAGGAAGTTGGTTCCGTTGTCGGTTCGTAATCAAAGGGCAATCGGTCGGCAAATGTGCTCGGTATGACCACCGAAAGCCAGAGTATAGACAAGGCAGATGATAAGACCTGCAATCCCACGATCTCTGTGCATGGGATTTCGCTTATGGCATTCCTTTGTGGGGCCTGCGTCGCAGATTTAGAGTTTTGGGTTCATTGATGGTGTTGACAGATGGAATGTGGACTCGGCTATATCTTGGCCTGCATTGATTTGCATAACTATGTGGTATTGATTCGTACATATTGCTACATTGTACATATTCGGCAAACAAGATTGCTTCTCTCACCCAAATCTCCGCCTTTCTGTGGCCTCTTTGGGAATATTTGCTCCATTCGCTCCATTGCGGGCCGATTGACAGGGTGGGCCTGCCGCGCCTCAACCAAGCTACAGTGCATGAGAACAATGACTGTGGGGTATTTGTTCTTTTGTCAGGTATAACGGTATACACTACAAATGTGATGAACTTTGAGATAGGCCGAGGGGTAAAACCAGATCTTATCCAATAGATCTGTACAACAGGGATTAATTTGAAGTACTACAGTCTGGAGAAAGACACATGACATGACTTATGTCCCTTGTTCATTGCAAACCATTGTCTGGAAAAAGACATTATCTATATATGGTATGGAGCCCCGGATACCCCGGTCATCATGCCCCATAGAAAGAAAAAAACCGGGTATGTATTCCATGCTCTAGTGGCGAAAGCTATGTGTATTTATATATTGGTAGTAGTCTCAAGTGCTACTTCTTATCTAATGATCTTTCTAACATAAATATCGGCCTTTCATGGATTCCTTGGGGGATGAGCCTACAATTAGAACGCAAATACTGTATGTTGAATCTCATATGTTATCTGGGTATCTGCTAACCATATGTATAGCAAGCGCTTGCGAATAATGTCGCTATAGAGCCAACCCTAGGGATGGTAAAAGAAGCCCGGAAAAGATGTCTCAGAGCACGTCTGCTATTAATGGGTCATTACAACCTACTATTGAGCTATGGTGAGGAGCGACTGTTGGATGATTGTTGTGTGGCCGGTGTAAAAGGCTTACCGATGCACGCTTTCGAGGGGTTCAAGCTGCTCAGTGAGTTGGAGGGGATCAGTCCCGCTCTAGAGACTGCTCATGCAGTCTGGGGCGCTGTTGAGCTGGCCAAGACAATGAAGAAAGACCAAGATGTTGTTATCTGCCTTAGGGGAAGGGGACATGCCTATTCCCAATGCATTTCGCGC